CCATGCCTGACTTTAAAAAATGTCCTTAGCACTTACTTGTCCACAAATGTAGTTGCAAGAGGGTATGTGTGTCAGTTCATGTATCAGAGGACAGCTTTCAGGTGTCAGTTCTCTGCCAGCAAACTCAGGTCACCAGGCTTGGCAGCAAGTGACTTTACTCTCTCAGCCATTGCCCCAGCCCCATTATCACTATTATTACTGCTGTGTGTGTGTGTGTGTGTGTGTGTGTGTGTGTGTGTGTGTGAGTGAACATGTGCATGACGTGCGTTTGAGGAAGGGGAACACATAAGTGGAGATCAAAGGATAAGTGTGGAGTCAACTCTCTTCTACCTTTATATGAGTTCCAGGGATGGAACTGGGGGAGCAGATGAGTTTAACAAACCTTTCTTTGCCTCAGTGTTTTAAACCTTACTCCCTTCCTCGCCTCGTCGTTGTTCATGTTTTTGTCTTTCATATACCAAAGTGCATGCTGAGGCTCCAAGTCTTGTATTTCTGGCTTATTGGGAGAATTGTTCTCGGCTGAAACGTAGTTTTGCATTTTTCTCACTCCTTCTGATTGCTATGGAATTGGTTTGAATCTTTTCAAATTTTTGGCAGTTCTTTTTTTCAAAAGCCCTTCCCTAGGTGGACACACCCCTGTGATCTCAGGGCTGGTAAGGCAGAGGCAGGTGGATTGAGAGTTTGAAGCCATTTTGGGGTATGCCATAAGACCCTGCAAGATCCTTTTCTTTGTTCCTCTGTGTTTGTTTGTTTTTTGTTTTTTACTTGTTCTTTACTATCCAGGAATTTGAAGTTGATCATGTCTAGTGGTTTTTTAAAAAATTATTATGTTTTGGAGAGTGGCTATAGGAGAGGGTATAGTAGAAGGTATGATTGAAATCAGGAGACCTCTGATACCTTTAGGCCAACTGAAATAGGCCTATTCAATTGAGATAGCAGTTATGGCATATGAGAAGTGGGGTTAGCACCAAGGACGAGTGAGTTCCTTTTCCTGTGTGAGTTCTTAGCATTCTGATAGGCCTCCATCATGATGGTTGAGTGTTGGAACTTTGCACATTCCTGTGTGGCTTGTTTGTTGTCTGCACCAGTAACTATGTATACCATGGACTTCACACTTACTAGGCAAGTAGTCCACACCAAGGCAAATATCCAAACCTGTGTGTGTGTGTGTGTGTGTGTTCTGTCCTTGTTTCAGACAGGGGGCTGGCTGAATTTGAGAATTCTCTTGCCTCTGCCTCCTGAGTGTTGGGATTCCAGATATAGCCCGACTATAGTTCAGGGAGAAGTACGTGATTCTGACACTACCACCAACCTGCTTTGTTTCGATACCGGGCTGCACGTTTTGCTTATTGGATAGATGCGTAAAACAGAGGTTGAGGAACACAAGATCCTGTTGCTTTGAAGCTAGCAGAGCCCAAACACTTGTGTGAGGAGGTGAAGCCTGTGACCCCGTGTTTTTCAGGTTGCTGGAGGAGCCAACATGAGTCAGATCTCTGAAGCACTGAGCCAGTACAGGAACAGGTCGTGCTTTGTGAAGGAAGCTCTCTACAGACTCTTCACAGAGACACTTTCTCTGCGTGTCGTCCTGCCTGCCACTCTGAAGGTACCGCAGAAACATTTCATCATTTCTTGCTTGGTCTATTGAAGGTTGTTTACTAGCAGGCATGGTGGTTTACACCTTCAATTCCAGCATTCTAGAGAGGCTGAAGACAGATCAATGAGAATTCCAGGCCAGCCCTAGTCTACAGAGTGAGACCTTGTCTCCGGAAACCAAAAACTGTTTACTGAACACTACAGGAAGATAATAGTAGCATTGTATTATCTTTTTAAAAATAAATAGAAGTTATGAATCTATTTGTAGGAATCAAATTCACTTTGCTCTAGATATTTTCTATGGGTTTACTTCTTTTTTTAGTCTTAAAACTCTAGTATCTGATTTTCTTCATTCTTTTTCTTCCTTCCTTCCTTCCTTTTTATTTTTGAGACAGGGTTTCTCTGTGGCTTTGGAGGCTGTCCTGGAACTAGCTCTTGTAGACCAGACTTGTCTTGAACTCACAGAGATCCATTTGCCTCTGCCTCCTAAGACTGGGATTAAAGGCATGTGCCACCACTGCCAGGACAGTACCATAATTTTTAATGGTGTCTTGTCCCTCTAAAAACAATTTATCTTCAGCTTGTGGCTATAGGAATGCGGAGTCATCCACTGGATCTGCCAGTGCAGTTCACAGCCAGTGCCTGTGTCCTCAACCTAACACGGGAGAACCTGGCCAAGGGAATGCCTGTTCGTCTGTTATCAGAGGTCATCTGTCTACTCTTCAAAGCAATGAAAAATTTCCCCTACTACCAACAGGTAATTTGATTTAAATTATTGACTGATATTTAACCTTAGAATATATATAAGGAAAATATGTATTACTGAATTGTAGTTTTTAATTTTTTATAAATAAAATAGGACTTAATGTTGTTATAGAAAAAAGTAGGAAATATGAATAAGCAATGAAGCTAAAACCATTTACTCAGAAAGCTGAGAGTGGTGGCATACACCTTTAATTCCAGTACTCAGACGCAGGCAGATCTCTGAGTTTTAGGCCAGCCTGGTCTATGATAGAGTTCTAGGACAGCCATGGCAACCCAGAGAAACCCTGTCTCAAAAACCAAAAACATAAAAATAAAAAAAACATTTACTAAGAAACATCCTCTAACATTATTAGACTAGGTGTTGGAATAAGATTACCATACACAGGATGGGGGCGATGTAGGTTAATTTTATTGGGGAGAAATCACTTACATGAGAAAATGATAACCCAGGGTCAGCGCTCCGAGCATCCAATCTCAGCTGCCCTCCGAGATCCAAACCCAGAGAGAGTGCCCACCTGCCTACATCCGACAAGCCCTGTATGCACCTGTGGCCACACCCAAACGGGCCTGGTCAGTGCCACAGGTAATAGTAAGCTCTCTCCCTACAATTTCCCTTTTAGTGTAAAGAAAGGATTTAGACTTGATACAAAACTATGTACAAAGATGGCAAAAATCAAGTATGTGCTAGAAGGAAAAGCATGAACATACACCTTTAAGATCTAAAGCCAGTAAAACAACACGAGCAAATGGCAAGAACTACATATCCAGTCCTAGGGTAAAGAATAACATTACTGTAGAGCTGTTCTAAGCTGGAAAGTTTAAGTCTTGCACAGAGATCAGAAAGCAAAACACACACACACACACAATCAATTTCTACATAAAGGTAATAAAATATTTTTTAATTAGGTGAGTAAAATCATAGATCTAAATATAAAAGTTAAGGCCATGAAATGTTTAGGAGAAAATACTTTTTACCTCACTAGTCAAAGATAGGTTACTAAAAGCAAAGGCTTTTCTTCAAGGACTGGGGACATAGCTCAGTGAAAGAGATTGCTAGTGTATGTAAGGCCCACACCCTGGTTTCTAGCTCCAGCACCAGAAAATAAAACCATCAAAATTGAAAGTTCTTGGGCTGGGGGTATAGCTCAGTGGTAGAGCACTTACTAGCATGCATAAGGTTGTAAGTTTAGTCCCCAGCACCTCAAGATAAATGAATAAACAAAAGTTGAGGGGCTGGGGAGATAGCTCAGTGGTAAAGACTCTTGCTCTGCAGGCATGAGTTTAAGTCCCTAAACCTGTCTGGGTTACACAAAATTAATGTAACTTTATAAAAGGGGGGGGGCTGGGGCTGGAGAGATGGCTCACTGATCTAGAGTGATTCAATTCCCAGCACCCACATGTCATCACGTTTGTCTGTAACTCCAGTTCCAAGAAATCTGACACCCTCACAACAACATACTTGTAAGCAAAACACCAGTGCATATGAAATAAAAATAAATAAATAATATATTTTAAAAAATGGGAGTTGGTCTTTAAGAGTACAATTCAGTCTTTAGTTGTAGGAGTAAATTAAAATCGTGGAGAGAGGTTGGGTGGTGGTGATGGTGGTGGTGGCAGCGCACGCCTTAATCCCAGCGCTCAGGAGGCAGAGGCAGGTGGATCTCTGAGTTTGGGGTCAGCCTGGTCTATAGAGCGAGTTCCAGGACAGCCAGGGCTATACAGAGAAACCTGTCTCGGGGAAAAAAATATATATATCATGGTGAGGACTACATAAGTAGTCATTGGTCATACCAGTCACATATCTTAACTGCTCACAGACCAGAGCATCACATTTGCTGATGAGTATTCATCCTTTCTTCCCTAAAAGTTACAGAAGAATTGTCTTCTCTCCTTAACCAGTTCCAGGATTCTTACGGACGTTCCCTTTGACAGGCAAGTACAGATAAAACATATGATTGAGTTCAGGCCAGCAGCACTTGGTCACTCACATTCTGGAATGTACTTCTCCTGGGCTCTCTCTGAAATGTTCTTATTTCCATTGCTAAGGCTTTGAAAGTTGACATTTTTACTTTTATGTTTAAATTTTTCCTTAGCATATGTTATACCTGATACTGAATTTCATTATGGTATTTCTATACCTGTATATGATGTGTTGATCTTATTCATCCCCAGATGCTGTCTTGTTCCCTTCTACTCCGAGCCTCTTCCTCTTTCCAGTTAGCCACTCTTTATTCTACTTTTCATGTCTTCATTTGTGTGAACCAGTTAGCGTAATTAGGGCTACTTACAGGAAAATGGGTGAGGGTTTATATGGGGAGGGGCACGGACAACTCACCAGAGGCTACACCACTGAAGAAAATAACGGCTTTTCAGGTTTAATGCTGCCAAGCTTGCTATGAGGTGGGTGTGCAGGCGTGAGAACCCCAAGATGCAAACAATGGCGGTGAGCATCACCTCCATCCTAGCCCTGAAGGTAGGTGTGTGCCAGAGTTACCATCCCCTTCCTAGGCCTGGGAGAACTTGGGAATTTCAGTTGGGTCTTCTGTTTGCTTTCAGCTCTTACCTGAGGAGATGGAACAGCTTCAGGAAGAGCTCATCATGACAATCAAGGTGAGCGGGTGAGCTGAGGTAATCACCACTCCTACCCCACCATGCTGGGGATTGAACCCAGGGCCTTTTGCATGTTAGGCAAATGCTCTACCACTGAGCTATATCCTTGGTCATAATACCTTAAAAAAAAGGAACAAATTTATAAATGAAGCTTTTATTATTTTTTAAATAACTTTTTAAAGGTATATGGAGTTTTTATGTTTTTTTTTTTTAATTATGAAGCTATTGGCCTTGTTTGTTTCTTACTGGCTAGCTCTGACTTAAGTAATTACCCCATAATTGTTAATCTAAGTATGTCTCTTACCGGAGAAGTTTCCGGGCTTCCTACCCCATGGCATTACATCTTGACTCTCTGTGTTTCTCCTACCCAGAGTTCTCCTGGACTCCTAGTCCCACCTATCTTGCTTCCCTATTGGCCAACAGTGCTTTATTGCCATATACATGGGACTTCCCCCAACATCTCCTCTTTTCTGTTTAAACAAAAAGAAAGGTCTTAACTTTAACATAGTCAAATTATATATAACAGAACAGTTATCAAGTAAGAACATAGTTACAATATTTTAGCAAGATTTAAAGAAAATATCATCCATCCCATCCTTGTGAGTACAAAGTTCTATATGTAGCTTATCTTTTATCATAACTAAGGAAAACTATAATTATAACTATCTGCCTTCAACTCTATCAAAGACCACAGAAGGATAATATATAAGCACTAGGATTGACAGAGACATCTTACTGCCTGGACAGTCACCCGAAGTTCCTCTGTAATGTTGGAGCATCCATCTTCAGCCCATAGGCCACAATGTGTCTGGAACACTTCTCAGCAAAGCAGGAAATTTCAAACTGTCCATCTGCATCAGCAGTCTGTCAGTCATTTTTCTGTGTCCTGCAGAAAGTCTCGTAGACTCTTCCATGAATCAGGAACCCTGAAAGACTGTTTGAGTTCAGCAGTCACTTTCCTGTGTGTCCAATTTATACAGCAACAGTCAAACAGTCTAGGCAAGAGCAGTTTCTTGCCAAAATGGCTGATCTTGCCATGTTGAAAGCAAACTCCATAACGAGTCTCTTCGATGCCCATCTTCCTCTCAGACATAATTGGTGCTTCTAGGAGCAGACATTGCTCATTGTCAAGAAAAACCCTAAACCATTTTAAATGCCATTTCCTGAAGGTCTTTGAAAGGTTTGAAGACTATCTGTCTCAAATACATCTATATATCTAGAAAACCTAACTTACCTAACTATAAATTCAACTATTATAAGTAACTATCTATAGTCTGTATTCAATTATGCATTACATTTTAAAAGAACAGTATAAGGACAATACTTAATCAAGAGGAGAAGTATACATGTCACAAAAGTGACCTTGAATTTGTCTCAATAAATGAAAAACCATACCAATACAAAGTACTCATTTCCATACCATAATCCCCTTTTTCCTTTAAAAGGAGATTGTTTGTGATCATTAACCAATTTTAAGCAACCCCATTTAAATGAAAACAAAGACTTATAAACAATATGGGGATTTGGATGTCGTTCATTCCAAACTGCTTCCTGCTGGATGGGGGCGCTGTTCATACCATGGGGATCATGACAAAACTCAGAAACCTGTATGAGTCCTTATTTTCGGGGTCTGTAAGATTGCATCATCTTAGCTGTTTCAATTGTTGGAACACCTGGCCCACTGCTTCCGGGGGTCTTAGTTCATCAAACCACAGAAGCCTGGAAGGAATCCTCAGCTTTTCATTTTCTGTAGAAACATAGACAAAAACTCCTTTCCAAAGTAACATATCCTTATACTTAAATTTTTGAAGTCAAGACATTTTTAAAAGATATAAGTTGAATTAATTCAGCAGTATTTATAATCAAGTGTACTTTAGCAGTTGTTCCTTCCTGAGCAATTACAAAACTGAAAAACACAATAGCATACAGTATCCAGACTCTCTGTGTATTTTTCATCTTTACGTGGCTTATTTATTTATCTATTATTCTATTTCTTTTACTTTGATTTATTTATTTTTGTCTGAGACAGGGTTTCTCTTTGGAAATCTGCCTGCCTCTGCCTCTGGAGAAAATCTTACCCGTGTGCACCATCACAGTCAGCTTCTCTATTTACCACTATGCCGTTCTTTTTTTTTTTCTCTCTCTCTCTCAATCTTACGTATATTTTTAAACACACTGTAAACCTTTAGAGGTTTTTCTTCATCCAAGTCTGACTTTACTGTAAATCTTCACGTTTTTCTGGCCACGCGTCTTATCTGTTAAAACTGCGGCTGTTTAAACTGCAGTTTTTCCAAGATGGCAGGCGTAAGCGTGATTCCAGCTCACTGTCTCAGTCTTTGCTGAAATCCAGCAAAAGCTGCCGGCTTGGAGATGTGGTCACTGCCACTTCTAGCTGTACGTACACACCTTTAATCATTAGCAGAGTCTCTTTAAAAAACCTTGCTGGCTTTTTGTTTTTTGTTTTTTGTTTTTTGTTTTTTTGTTTTTTTAATGTTGAGTCAGGAAGACTCCCTTAAGCAAGCCACGTGAGTCTCTGCTTGTCGTTAGCAAAACAGAGCCCACCTGAGAAAATGCTGCTACCAAAAATCTGTGCTTCTCTCCATTCTTCTGTTTCTAAAATTCCTTTAAAGCTTTTGTCAGTCTATGTGGAAATTCATCATCCCACTCCTGATCACCATTATGTAAAGGGAAACCTTCCCGCCAGCCTGGTTCCAGAGCCGCATCAGTCCCAAAAAACACACAGGAGGCTATATTAATTATGAAGCTGTTGGCCTTGTTTGTTTCTTACTGGCTAGCTCTGACTTAAGTAATTACCCCATAATTGTTAATCTAAGTATGTCTCTTACCCGAGAAGTTTCCAGGCTTCCTACCCCATGGCGTTACATCTTGACTCTCTGTGTTTCTCCTAGTTTTTATGTTTTGATTTTTTTGAGACAGGTTTTCTCTGTGTAACTGCCCTGGAACTTGTCTGTAGACCTGTCTGCCTCTACCTCCCAAGTGTGCTGGGATTAAAGATATGTACCACCACCAACCAGCTGAATGCAGCTTTTTTTTTTTTTTTTGGTTTTTTTCGAGACAGGGTTTCTCTGTGGCTTTGGAGGCTGTCCTGGAACTCGCTTGGTAGTCCAGGCTGGTCTCGAACTCACAGAGATCCGCCTGCCTCTGCCTCCAGAGTACTGGGATTAAAGGCGTGCGCCACCAACGCCCGGCTCTTTGAATGCAGCTTTTAAAATAATTTTTTCTGTGCTTATTTGAGAATAAATTGTGTGAAAGGCAACTGAGTGGTTTGAATGAGAAAGACAAAATTGAGGATTGGATTAGACTGGATATGAGGCAGATGAATGGCACTTTCTTGAATAATAAGACAGTAATAGCTAGGTGGTGGCAGCACATACCTTTTATCTCAGCAGATCTGAGGCAGGCAGATCGGCTCTTACTCACTGAGGTAGTAGCCAAGGATGGTAGTGTAAGCATTTAATCCAGCACTGGGAAACAGAGGCAGGGGGCTCTTTGTGAGTTCAAGGCCAGCCTGGTCTATATAGTGAGTTCCAGGACAGCCAGGGTTACCAATGAGGTCCTGTCTTAAAACAAAAACAGGATTTATTTTATGTGTGTGTGGCACAGGTGTTTGTAGCCAGGCTGGACAGTAAAGCTTCATGCATGCTACAGATACTCTGTCAACCCAGCTAGATCCCCAGCTCCCACGTTAGGGCTCCTCTTCTCTTCCTTACACAGGAGTGGGTTGGACAGGGTGTGATTTTACTGTCTGTCTCTTTGGTTTGTAGGAACTTCTAACAATAGTCAGACAAAAGACGGCTGAGAAGGTAGATGATGTCACCCTCTTGTTTACTCTGAAAGCACTTTGGAATCTTACAGATGAGTCTCCATTGGCCTGCAAGTACTTTATTGAGAATGAAGGATTGGCAGTCATCATCCAAGTCTTAGAGGTAGGAAGGTGGGATTGAGTTTAAATATAAAGTTCTTTTCTTCACCGTATGGTAACCTGTGTGTTCTTTTACAGACGTTTTCCATGTCTGTGATACAAGTCAAAGTACTTGGTCTTTTGGTGAGTTGAATTGTTTGAATTACTTTTAATGAAAACCAATACTTCCATAGTACCTACTTTGTATTGGGCACTTCTGTAGTCAGTTTAGATGCATAGATTCATTTAATCATTGGGGACTAATGTCGGACAAGCTTCACACTAAAGTCATGGTATTCACACAGGGTTTAAGTGGTTAAAGAATTGACTAGTTAGAACCTCAAAACCAGGGCAATGACTGCCTCAGACTACAGTTGTGACTCCTTGTACAGTAATTATCTGTTGCTGTGAACAGCCTACAGCTTTAGTGGCTTAAAATAATAACTATCTAGGGCTGGAGAGATGGCTCCATGATTAAGAGAAGTGGTTGCTCTTCTAGAGGACCTGGCTTTGATTCCCAGCACCCACAGAGCAAATCACAACCATCTGTAACTCCAGTCCTAGGGAACCTAATGCCCTCTTCTGGCCTCTGTGGCACTGCATACACACAGTACACAACATAAAAATAAAAGTTAAGAAATTGGGGCTAGAGAGATGGCTCAGAGGTTAAGAGTACTGACTGGTCTTCCAGAGGTCCTGAGTTCAATTCCCGGCAACCACATGGTGGCTCACAACCATCTACAATTCAATCTGGTGCTCTCTACGGGTATATGGGCAGAGCACTGTATATGTAATAAATAAATAAATCTTTTTTTTTAAGTTAAAAAATAATAGTAGCTATCTTACTGAAAACTATAGATGGTGTGTATTGTGCCCATGCTATGCCTGTAATCCCAGCTCGAAGAGACACACAAGTTTGAGGCCAGGCTGGGCTACATAGGAAGACCCTGACTCAAATTAAAGTCAAACAAACAAGAGAAACCAGGAAACAGCTTAGTCGGTAGAGTGCATGCCATGCACATTTAAGAGCCTGAATTTGGGTCCCCGGCACCTGTGTGTAAAGCGGAATGCGGTGGTGCATGAGTATGATCCCAGCATTGGGGGTGCAGAGACAGGAGGATCCCAGGGGCTCACAGCCTGTCTAGCCACATCTTTGTGCCCCAGGTTCAGGGAGGGATCTTGTCCGAAA